TAGCCATATTGGAAAAGTTGGGTAGTTCTTTAGAAAGTTAGACGCAGAGTTACCATATGAGGCAGCAATTCCATACCTAGACATTTACTCAGGAGAATTGAAAACATACATCTACACAGAAACTTATACATGTTATTCCTTAGCAGTATTGTTCATGATAGCTAAAAGGTGGATAAAACCTAAATAGCAGCTGATGACTGTATAAACAAAATGGGTTTTATCCACATAATGGAATATTATTCTACCATAAAAAGGAATGAGATTCTGATAGCATCCTACAACTTGGATGAATCTTGCAGATATTTTGAAAAGCCAGTTCCAAAGGCCACAAAAAATTGCATGATTCTACATAAATTTATATGAAAATACCAGAACAGGCAAATTTATATTAACAGAAAGATGAGTGCTGTGGCAGTGGAAGGAAGAGGGAATGAGGTATGGCTGCTAAGGGTACCGAGTTTCTGTTTAGGAGAAAAAATATTGTACAACTCTGAATACTTAAAATCACTGAATTCACACCTGTGGCACATCGCAAAAGGAATAGATGTGGTAGAACTCATGCATAGCTAACAAAGGAAGAAACCAGTCACGAAGAATATATTTTTTAATGGAAAAATTAGTATAAAGAGTATTGGGTTAGAAATAAATAAAAGAAAAAGCCAAAGTTAATATGATAGAACTCATTTCAATTTGCCAGTAAGACAACAGCTGTAGAATTAGCAGAGTTTAGTCAAAATGTGTCAGATTAAATTTGGAAGCTAAATGAGAAACAATTTGAAGAAATGACTATATTCATTGCTTGTGTTTTCACTGAGACACATTTTGGTGATATTCACTACCAGATGGTGGGCAGAGAAAGACAGTGGCCACATAAGCAGGTGTACAGTCCATGTCCTGCTCCCTTGCCAGGTGTTGCTACGTCCCTGCTCATCCCAGATATACCATCTGAAGTTCTGAATCCAGGCTTCCCATTAGCTGTTGCTGCCTGATTGAAACTACTGTACAGTGTAACCCTGTTTGCTCTTATTTATATAGATCAGATTTGTTCTTTGCAAATGTTTGTGTTCAAAGTATAAATATGAAGTTATAGAAAGTTTGAAATGTAGGAAAATGCTATATCAAATACAGTAGGACAGTTGTTCTCATGCCTTTTTTTTGTAAAGTGATTTTTTTCTACAAATGAAATACTAAAAGAAGTTGAGCATCTAAAATAAGGAAACACAGAGCTTCCCAGGTTGAAATGAGAGGCATGGCCCTGGGTAGGTGCCAGTAAACTCCAGATAGCGTAGAGGAGCACCATTCACCTCTTCCTCTCCTGTGATAACCTCCTGAGATGTTTTCTTTGAGAATTCTATTAGAGAAGATTGCCAGAGTGAAAAAGCTGATCAAATGGAAATAATACTTTCCTACAAATTAGGAAGCCCTGGCTCCCCTTTGAGAGCTCTCTTCTTGGCCAAGGCTGGTCATAAACTGCCGCCCTCAGCTGATCCCGTCACCTTTGCCTCCTGAGAGGCTGGGACTAGCACGCCACAACACCTGGCTGGGGTCAGTCTTCGACCTGTTCTTTTTCTGTTCACCTGTGTGTGTACAGGTCAGTTATGCTCATTCATATGAAAAAGGTCATTTGAATTAGAGACTTCTAAGAGTCTCAGCCTACTCTTAGTATGTGATTTTGAATTAGAGAATTTGGTAAGTGAAAAAATTAATTATCTGAAATAAGATGAAACAAAAATGATCCAAAGGTTTGAATAGATACTTTACCAGAGATGTTCAGAAGGGCATGGCTATGTTATTTATTTATTTTTTTGGTACGGGGTGGGGGGGATTGAACTCGGGTCCTTGGTACTTGCGGGGCAGGTGGCGGAACCACTGAGCTAAATCCCCAGCCCGTGGCTACATTATTAATCACGGGGAAGTCAAAATCAAAACCATGAGATAAAATTTCATATGCATTGGACTAGCTATGATTAAAAATATTGACAATACCGAATGTTAGTGAGGACGTGTAATAACTAACTGGAGGTCTTGTGTTTTATTGGTGTGGCTATAAAATGGTCACAGTGGAGAACTCTTAAGCATTATTTATCTACCCAGCAGTCCTATTCCTAGGTATATACCCAAAATAAATGAAAACCTATGTTCACAAAAATTTTGTATGAGAGTGTTTATAGCAGCTTTATTCATAATAGTCAAAACTCAGGCACCTCAGAAATTCATCACCCGATGAATAAAGAATTGAGGTATATTCATACAATGGAATAAAACAACTGAAAAAGGGAAAAAACTACTGAATTATTCAGTATGAGTAAAGCTTAAAAATTATATCAAGAGAAGAAAGACAAATGAAGCCCCAAAGCAGGTGAAACAAATTGGTTGCTATAGAAAACAGAACGTGGTTGCCTCCAGCAGAACTGGTATCGACTGAAAAGGGCCACAGGAAACTTCTGTATTGGTGGCTATGTTTTATATCTTGTTTTGAGCGTGAGTTGCAAGGATTTAAACAGTTATCAAGACTCATTAAAATGAACACATAGGATGTGAGCATCTTTTTGTGTGTCAGTTGTACTGCAGTTTTAAGTGCTTAAGACAGTTGAATAGCATGAAGTGTAAAACTTAAATCATTCCTTAAGAAGGGGAGAGGGGCATACAAAGCCCAGCCTGAGGCAGAAAGAGTGAGATTGACGAGCTAAGGATGCTCATTTAGAAGAAAAGCCAGGGGGTAGGCAAGTAGCATACACTAGGAATTTAAACTCAGTTAATTTTTGTAAACATTAATGATTTCTGCTGGTTTCTATGATACATTAATTGTACATTATCTCTCAGGAAAACATGATTCTACTTGTAGACCTATTTTTTTTTTTTTTTGGTACCAGGGATCGAACTTGAGTCCTTATGCTTGTGCAGCAGGTGGTGAAACCACTGAGCTAAATCCCTGGCCCATCTACATCTTTTTTTATTCATTCAGCAGTTGATGGGCATTTGGGCTGGTTCCAACATTTAGCTATTACAAACTGTGTCGCTATAAACATCGGTGCCCATATATCGTTGTAGTATGATGCTTTTAATTCTTCTGGGAAGATACCCAGAAGGGGAGTAGCTAGGGTCAGGTGTCTAGGTTCTTTTTGAAGTCTTCCTGAGGTTTTTTTCTATATCTACATTTCATGAATAGGCTCCATTACTTTTTTTGGCACCAGGGATTGAACTCAGGATCTTGTGCTTGCCAGGCAGGCATAGTGCCAGTGAGCTACATCGCTGGCCCTCCATCACTTCTTGAACAGATGCAAACTCGAAACAAAAGTGATTGCTGTCTGAAAACTATATTTTCCTGTCTGGAGATACCTGTTCTTGTGAATTGTGTTGAAAATGAGCAGATTGGCAAAATTTTAAGGAGCCAGGCATATCAGAGGTACATGGCTAGTGGTTAACTATACAGTGGTAGCTTTGCTCACGAACTTAATTCCTTCTGTGATTTTAGAAATGGAGGCCATGTTTGTGTGGGAAAGATGGCTACAGTCATGTTCGTCACCTGATGCACAGTTTGCAAACAAAAATAAAATTTTGCCAGACACTTCTGTTTGTGAACCAAATTGTTCACAAACAAAGCATTTGTGAACTGAGGTACCATTGTAGTTGTATAAAATCTTCAGGAGGGAAGAACTCTGAACTGTTTTGCAATGCAATCATTCAGTACTACGTAGGAACCACTAATATTTCACTTTATAGTAACTCATTCTTTAACCCTTAGGCAGTGGATTCTTTAAAAGAAAAACTTTCTGTGATACATGGGGTCATCCTACTTTGAATGTTAGAAAAGCAATAGTATCAAAGTAATTTCTCATCCAGTTTCAAAACACTGACAATATTTTACTGGGCATTTTATGTTTTTCTAAAACTGCTTCAGGTAACATTTATAAAAATTAAAAGTGTTATAAAATTATTCTAATAGTGTGTTACAGTGCCAGAAATTAAACCTATATTTAACTTTTATTTTTTCCATTTTTTTCTTAACTAGGTCCTTTCTGATGTTGCTTGAGCTTATTCTCCTGCAGTTGGTCTCATTCCTGTTGGCTAAACATAAGTTCCATGGCAACACTAAGTTAATGCGCGTGTGTTATGATACCAGGACAGTACTGTAGAGAAAGTAACCCTCTACCTATACATTAAATGACCTAATTCCTCTCTATTCCTAGAAGCACCATAACTTTTTAACCCATTATACAGTTATTGTCATACCTCTGACTAAAGAACATAGTTGAGTTTTTGGAAAGTACAGGATTTACCAATTTGGTCTTAATACAAACACATAATTATTACAGTTAACGAAATAGGAAATTATTGGTGCATATGATGAATGTATACTGTAGAAGAATATTTCAAGTATAATTTTTTAAATTGGTTTAATTTTTTGATATTTTTCTATACTGTAAGTTGATAACGGTTTCTTAAAGTTTATAAAGATGATTTATTTTACTGTTTTGTGGTACCAGTAGGACTCTTAATATTAAATTGGTATGTGGAGTTTTATAAATGTTTCTATTAGCATTTAAATAATGAACTAAAGGAAGTTTATGCCAAATGTTTCTAAAGTGCAAGGGTAATATGTCTGCTGGTATGATGCGTAATTCAGTTTTTAAGAAAGCAACTATGAATTGTTGTTTTTTTTTTTAACTTCATGAACTACCCCTTATTTCTAGAACCAAATTTAAAAGAAGCTTCTTTGTGGAGCAAGACAAATCAGAGATTTTCTATGTTAAAACTCCAAGAATGCATTCTTTTAAGATCTCTGAAGCATTTTGTCAGTGAAGGAAAATATTAAATACTGACTTGGTAAAACTATTAGGATTTGCATTGCAGAGAACTTGGAAGTAATCTTTACCACTGATAGAGTATCATCAGGATTTTGAACGTTAGAATATGATGTTAAAATGTGATTATAGTTTTAATGCTTTGTCTCTTTGAATTAAATTTGTATCCATAAAGATGTGCAGTATAATTGTTCATGTATTTATTTACAGACTGCAGTTTCCGTCGCAGCTCAATAAATAGTCTTTCCCCTGTTAGTGCTACCCTCTCTTCTGGGATTCCCAGCGTGCTTCCTTATACTTCAAGGCCTTATTCTTATCCAGGCTACCCCCTGTCACTTGTTCATGGCAGCCATGTTGGACAACAACTATTTATCTCCAATCAGGCCTCATTCTTCTGAAGAAAACCTGTAAACCTTAGTACGAAATTACTTTGTGTAAAGCAAGCAAAGTAAAATACTGTTTTATTTTAGAATTGGATTTGCACATTTGGCTTTAAAAATAATATATTCCAACATACTAAACGTCAACAATAATTCAGGATATCAGAGTCATACAATTTATAAAAATGCAACGTTTGAAAAGTTACTCAGTGATTTGCAAACTGCTATTGTTCTTAAACTTACGGAATTTTCTTGTAATTCCTGAGTGGGCAGTAGATCCCAGTGGTTTATTTTTTGTGTAACTTCTTTGCAGAATTTTCACATATTAAGCCACTTGGAAACAATAGTTATACTAAATTTGAAAACCAAGGATCACTATCTGTATTGGAGATTGGAACAATTATATATTAGGTAGAAAGAAATGATGAGACAAAAAGATTAAGATGCTAATTTTGTGCAGTACTAAAGATAACACAATCTACCATTGTGGTCCTTGAAAATAGCTGTAAGTATTTTAGTTAATTATTTGTTACAGAAATAAATTCTAATTTTGCTGTTACATATTTAAGGATTTTATAGTTATGCTTCATTTGTGTTTTTGATATTCAAAAGTGTTATGGTTTTTAATGTTGAAATCATGTGTTGTTTAATTTTTGTACTTGGATTTGAACTTTTTGACATTAAATATGTGATGCTTCTACTATGTGTGTTTTATTTTTATTAGAATGCTCATGCACACACAGCTGCCAGAAGCACTGAGCTTTGAGAACAGTTTTTCTCACTAGGTTTATGGTCATAGGCGCACAGATGCATTATCTTCATGAGAAATGAAGCTTGGGATATTGTAGGCTGAAAATTGTTTTCGCTTTTTTTTTTTTCTTTTTTTTGGTACGGGGGATCAAACTTGGGACCTCGTGGTTGAGAGGCAGGCCTGAAAATTGTTAATGTTGTAAAGCAGTAACATCATTTTCAGGGGCCAATAGAGATAGTTTATTGATAGACACAATGATGTCCCCCCCTTATGAATAATTAATGAACTCATGTCATTTTGACTGTTCATTAGTTTACATGGATAATGATGGTTTTCCTAATTGATAGCAGATAGAAATCAGATGTCAAATGTTACTTTTGTTGATCAACTCCTTGTGCAGCTTGTATTTTTAGGATTTGGCTACAAAGATACGAAACATTTGCAGATACTTACCAACTTGAGTTTCAAGCAGAAGTTGTATGAAGAGTAAATTGATCTGTTTTCTTTCATCTAAAGGTTCATTCCACATAAATCGTGTGTATTACCTTTTTTCTGTCCTAGATTTTCTAACTTAAATGAGTATGGACATGATAATTAGTATTTTTTTCTTGACACAACTATGTGTGAGTTGTGTAGATCACCCACCCCCAACTTTGTGATTCTGAGGCAAGGTCTTGCAGTATAGTTCCGGCTGGCCTTGAACGCGCCGTGTGCCCAAGCTGTTCTCAGAGACGCCATCCTCCTCGCTCTGCCTCTCAAGGCCTGGGATTCCACATGTGCCCGCCATGCCTGGCTTAGATTTTGCAGTGAGTTGCTCTGTGTTTGCCATGTGTATGGCTCATAGGTGCACCTGACTCACTGAGCAGACGTACGGTGTTTATTTTGGTACTGTGGTTTTACCCCTGGGATACACAAATGACTGAAGCCAGGCCAGAGGGAAACAGACACACTTGGTTTTTCATAGAAATGTAATCATTGGCCCATATCAAAATAATTACAAATCTCCACATGGCTTTTCCAATGTGGAAAGAAAATTTCAAAACAGTTGAAAGTTGAGAGTATACCAACTGCACAAACTATATGGAGATCTGTGGTAACAGTGGGAAATGTGTAAGTTTTGCTTTCAGATTTGATTACCACTCTGTCAAGTAACAGCTTTTTACACTTGGACACTTTAATCTCTGAGTCATGCTTTTTGCTTCTATAAAATGGTGATACATTTCTTGAAGATATAATATTTGTCAGCGGAACTTTTTTTTTTTTTGGTACCGGGGATCAAACTTGGGTCTTTGTGCTTGCATAGCAGGTGGCGAAACCACTGAGCTAAATCCCCAGCTTGAAGATATAATATTAAAATACATTAATATTAAAATAACATGGCAAGTACAGTAGAAGTTACATGGTAGCTTATATATTTATATGAAGTGTATAATGCTTATTTCTTTGTAGTTTTCATCCTTTCTCCCTTCAATCAAATACAAAAATGAGTGCATTTATGTGAAATACTGTTCCTTTCTGTGATGATGTGGTTGAGCAGTTAGTCTTGTTCATATTGCATGGCTTTATTTGACTTGTGAATATAACAGTTTTTTACCATTTTAATTTTTGTAGCTTATATAAGGTCACTGCTCCAAGTGAGGGCTTCCCTAGTCAGTTGATCACAAAAACTATTGATAAATATTAACAGTGATCTAGCCCCTAGGCAGAAAACAGGTCTAAAGACAGCCTTTCTTGAATTTTGTGTGCACCTTTTTGCAAAGAATTAATGACAGATGTGGGACTGTGGCCTATGAAGCCATGCTGTACTTTATTTAAAACCTCTTGTAGAAAAGACAAGAAAGGTATGCAAAAAGCTTAATGAACCTTATCTCTCTCTAGTTTCTTTTTCTTTCTTTTTTTTTTTGAAACAGTCTTGTTAGGCTGGCCTTGAACTCATTATGTAGTCAAGGCTGGCCTTGAACTTGAGTAATCCTCCTGCCTCAGCCTCCTGAGTGTTGGGACTATAGGGATGCGCCACCATGCCTGGCCTCTAGCCCCCCTCCCCTGTACCAGGGATCAAACTCAGGACTTTGCACTTGCAAAACAGTAGAGGTACCACTGAGCTAAATCCCTGGCCCTCTATAGTTTTAAAAAAATTTTTCTTAGTACATTTTAGGTACACAATATAATGACATTCATCATTGGAAATTTGTACCTTTACACAATCTCTCTTGGTTCTTATTTTTTCCCCATTCCCCTGCCCTCCCTTCAACTGCTCTCAATTTACAAAGACTTTGTTTCCATTTTTTCATTTTCTCATATATAATTCTATTCCCTTCTTTCCTTTCCCTAATCCCTCCCACTTCCCCTTCCCCTTTGGACCTTTTCTTCCTATTTCACAATATCTATTAAGCCTTTTGATCCTTATTAACAATTTCAGTTTCTCACACCAGAGAAATTATTCAGCATTTACACATGTCTGTCCTATGTATTTCATTTAAGAGTATGGCCTCAATGTGCATGCATTTAGCTATAAATGTCTTTAGGTTCTCATTCATTAAGGATGAGTGGTACTCCATTTTATAAAAAAAGACAAACCACATTTTCTTTATCCAGTCTCCAGTTGATGGGCATTTGGGCTGTTTTCAAGTTTTAATATTACAAACTATGCTGCTGTGAACTTGAGTGCACATATATCACGATGGTATGATTCTTTAAATTCTTTTGGGAAGATACCCAGTAGGGAAATAGCTGGGTCAAATGGGACTTCTAGCCCTAGTTCTTTGAGGTATCTC